TGGAACGGGATCCTCTCAGCCTCATGAGTATAATTGAGGAGCTATTTCAAGGAAACAGCGGTTCCGGTCTAGAAAACCGAGATTAACGGCAGTAGGGATCCGCTGCGCTGACCACGTGACACTCTCTATCCTCGAAAGTTGGCACTAACTTCGCCGACAAGCGGCGGTCCCTTGGTTGGTATTGTTCGCATGCGGACTTCAGGGCACGGAGTTTAAGTTTAATTTCAAGAAATTGTACTAAAAGTGTGGGTAGCCTCTTCATTCTGAAGGATAAGGTCCAGTGGCGGTCTCGTGCGAACACAGAAATGAACATTCATGTCCCAGAAAAGGCGGTTAATTTATTCACCATCTCAGCAACGTTCACATTTTCAAGAAAGACTCGATATGAAGACGTGTTGGGTGGGGAAGGTACACCTCCACATATTCTTTAACCTAAACATGTGAAGGAGGGAAATGGTCACGTTCACGCCACGCTCATTTTATCCTCAAGCAAGGAGCACAAGCAGGGACTAGACAGGTGCCTGGGTGGAGCCCACAGCCGATCTCAACACAGTGGGAAGGAAATATATTACTCTTATCTGAAATCGACTCCCATTTACTCCACGTTGTTTGGCCCTTAGCGTGGTCACTATATTGACTGAGCTGTTGCAACATAAATAGTGAATTCCAGCTCCCATTTGTGTTTATCATGTACAAGTTATGCGTAAAAATTTAAAAATAAATGTTTTTCCTTCCTCTTGCTCCCACTTTGGAGCATAGGGCTGATTTCTCAGCTTCTTGGTCATTTCACAGACGGTAGGACTCCTTGGACGGGTGATCAGCTCGTCACAAGGCCTCTACCTAAACACAGGACAACACAAACACAAAATAAACGCATACAACACAACAAACATCCATGCCTTGTTTGGGATTCGAACCCACGATCACGGCTTCGGAGCGAGCGAAGACAGTATATGTCTTAGGCGGCCCATACACATACGAGTCTCACTCGCGAGTCAGGCTCGGCGAGGAGCCGGGCTCGGATTAATTTCGCCACACACGGACGAGTTTGGCTCACTGGAATCCGAGCTGAGTCGGAGTCGCGAACCAGACTCGTGCGTGTATGGGCCCCCTTAGATCCCTCGGCTACCGTGACCGGCAATTTCGTATTGGCCCCAAATATATATAAACCTGAAGGGGTTATTCTGATTATGTGCCATGTAGCAGTAACGTATTTCCGTGTCAATTCTGGCATATGTCATGTCTTCGTATGCCTTCAATCTCCGGTGTCAGGTAGTCTGACAGCGTGTAAGCATCTGGGATGGTAAGCAAAAGCGTACATGAAGGCAAAGGAAGGGAAAGTTGAAGTCAGACATCGCTCCTGGAGGATATTGGAGAAGCGTGTCTTGGACATGTTTGATTGATCAAGCAACTGTCAGATTATTGCGCGCAATTTAACACTGCAACCTTCTCTCTCGCTCTATCTCTTACTCTCCTAACATGTATCTACTTCGCATGTCGATGTGCTTGGGAGCTGTATTTTTTTACCTCCTCAGATAAGTCTTTCGTGTACATGTGAGTGTAGCTGAGAACCTGGTTGGAAGCAACCAGTATTAATGTGTTTTCCTGACACGGTAGGCAAGCACAGAGAAGTTGCGATTGGTGAAGAAAACATGTCAACTCCAGACTTATACGCCCCAAGAGCTTTCAACAATTTTCTTACTAATGGAAATCACTTGGAAGGAACAAATTGAAAACTAAATATTGTTTTCAGAATCGGGGAAGATGGGGAATGGATAAAAGAGATGTCAAGGCGCATGCGTAAAGAATTTCGAATGAAGATAAAATATATGGCAGTCTTAGGTATATTATATGTAAGGCTTCAACCCAAAGTAATATTTAAGCATCCAGCGAACACACAGCGCCTCAGTTTTAAAGATCAACTAATCAATTCTGTTTAGGAAAATAATCGATGTTTCCGCTTCTGTGGCCCTGGCTACAGATCCAGAGGTCCCGGGTACGATTCCCGACGCTACCAGATTTTCTGAGAAGTAATGAGTCTGGAACGGGGTCCATTCAGCCTCGTGAGGATAACTGAGGGGTTACTTGAAGGAAATATCGGCTCCGGTTTAGAAAACCGAAATTAACGGCCGTGGGGATTCGTTGCGCTGACCACGTGACACCCTCTATCCGCTAAAGTTGGCACTAATTTCGCCGACAAACGGCGGTCGCTCGGTCGGTATAGTTATCTTGCGGACTCAAGCCACGCAGTTTAGTTTTTTATCGCTGTTTATTCAGCAAATGGTGCAAAGCGTATAAGAGTCTTTTAATGTTGAATCAGGATCTTTAAATTGTGAAATTATTGTAGCTTCTGTTTTCAGAATATATATACATATTCTATTGAACAAGGAAAGATTCCATTATTTAAATTACCGCAGTCAGAAATGTAATGCCGTGTAGTCTGGTATAAATCCATCAGGCTTAGAGGAGTTACATCACACAAGACAGTACCTTTTACAGACATCACATTGAAACCCACGAATTCAAATATTTTGTTTCGTTTTAAATTGTATTCAGTCCTTCTTGAGAAGCTGCCAGTCGCTCACCTAGTCCAGAATTTCACAAGATTTTATGAAACCCAAAATTTCATTAAGATGTTCGCTAGACCCCTTCACTGGTCCATATCCTGAGCCACATGAATCCAATTTATCCCATCCTATCTCTCTAAGGTCTAATATTACCCTCACACCTACGCATAAGTCTTCCTAGTAGCCCCTTTCATCCTGGTTTTCCCACCAAAATCCTATAGGCCAATGCATTCCTCTTCTCCCCATGCATGCTACATTAAAGCTAGGTAAAAAGTAAAGCTATCCTTGTAACAGGCCCTGAAGGCCAATAGGGTTATCAGACGTCGAGGCTCTCACATTTTCCCTAGACAATCGACTCACATATGGCGGTAAGTTTGTCAGCCTTAAGCGCCGGCCGCCTTTACCCCAGGAAGATTCCTGTTACTCATTTCTATTAGAGGCTGAGTCGAACTCAGGGCCATAGTGCGGCTGGAAGGATTAGATAATTGAAAATATTCACCTCATCGGGACCCTAACCCGCGACCTTCCGGCTTCTAGCATAGTGCCTCAACCAACTACGCTACCGCGTGCTCATGTGTGCTTCATATACTGTCAGTCTCATCCTCAATGATTTCATCAATCCAATTACGAAGAGTAATTTTATTTAACCTCCCTTATTTCACAAATTTTGGGTCCAAATATCCTCCTCATCACCTTGTTCCCGAACGGTCTCAATTTATGTCCCATCTTTAATGTCAGAGACCAAGTTTCGCACTCATAGAAAACTGCATGCAACATTATGGATGTCTTCAGAGAGCAGAAGGGAAGCCAAAAGTTTCTGAACTGAAATGTAGTAAGCATTATCCGAATTGAATTCGCTCTTAATTTCCTCATGAATCAAATTTTGGATTGTTACAGCCGGAAGAGAAGGTTCTCGACAAATATTAGTAATGCGGAATGAACCATGCACATTGTACATTTCTACATTCGAAAATTTCGTATTGGTGTTGCACTCAAATTTCAAGAGCAAAAAGGGAAGAAACATCTATTCTCAAACATAATTAACTAAAATGCAATGATGTGCATCATAACTGACAAAGCAACAACTATAGCTAGAACAAAAATTTGTTGCTAACATATTTACGATGTAAAGTGAAGTCTTCAGCTGAACCAATGGATCACAGCCTTCCTCAACAACTGTCCTACATGACTTCAACTGTTTAAAAAAACCGTTCAGATTTCCACTGTTTTGTTGGGGAACATTTGTCAGAAGAATTCGATTGTATTTTGTTCTTAAGATGGCAGCACTATTCTTGAAAGAATATCAAGTATTTCCCAAAAGTGAACTGGATAAATTTCAAATTCTGCAGTGCCTTTTTTTTTTTTTGGTCAAGGCTTGGTTTGGGAAAAGTATTTGTCAACTGATACCACATTTTGTCACAGAGTTCTGGAACAACAATTAAAAAGTTAACAAGCTATTGACAATAATCCATGCAGTAGTACAAATCATGTAAGCAAAGGTCTCCCTGCAATAGGCCATGAACGCCCATAGGGTTGTGAGATGTTGAGATTCCCAAATTTTCTCTAGACAATCGGCTCGCAGTTGGCGGCAAGGTTGTCAGCCCTACGTGTCGGCCGCCCTTTACCCCCAAGAATATTCCTGGTACTCATTTCTGTTAGAGGCTGAATCGTCCCTAGGACCATAGTTCGGCTGGAAGGATTAGGTCATCTGAAAAATCCAGTGACCTCATCGAGACTTGAACCCGCGACCTCCTGGCTTGTAGCATAGTGCCTCAACCAACTATGCTACTGCGTGTACATAGTTTAATTGTGTATATTTAATTTTAAAAGTGTGAATGTATTATACATGATTATTAAAGGATAAAACAGATAATACTGCTTGCTGATAAGAGCCTCTTGTAAACAAACTGGCTGGACACCTTTGTATAATTTGCTGCTAAACAATGAAACTTGTATGACATTACTCGTTGTATTTTATTTCATAAATAAATCTGTCTTTAGCTCTGTGATTTCTTTCGATTTAATTCCAGCCACGGTCTTGTGACTTTCTAATATCTAATAAGTTTTATTATCGGCCACGGCTCTATATTTTGGTCCCTTACTTCGCATTCGTAGGTCCAGGGTTCACATCTTATGGGAGGGCCTTGCTATCCTCAGTCTCGCATAGAAGATATTACCTTAAAATATGTCTCTCTTTCAACATTCATCAATCACAACTCATATTATCACTCGACAGTATATAACCTAAGTATGTTTAAAATGTCGTTAAATAACAAACATGAATCTCAGATAGTCATATTTAAGTGGTTCTTTGCTGCCATTTGAAACTGAAGTTAAACAATAATGATATAACTTTTACAGGCCTCAAAAAAGTGATAAACATTATCTGATTATATTGCATTATTCAGCTTACCTTTATTCTCTCAGTAGTACTTCTTCTGCGTGAACACTTTTGGCACAATTCCATTCACAAATAAACATTCTTCCTAGCTTATTTTCTTTTGTTTAACCGTAACTAACTGATCACAACTTCCTACACTTATCCATTACGAAATGGCTCACAGATTAAAGAAATCAGCAAAGGTGTAAGGAGTTAAAACATATGCGAACCTCAGAACGAGCAAATAATGTACAACTGCAGTTACAACAAATCCGTTCTATTTTCACTTACTTTCAAGCTGATTTTGCGTGTTCATATTTCACGTCAGTTGTGGAATAAAAGTATTTACATCCCAGAAACTCGACAGTGTAAACTACACTTCTGATTTTCTTAAATAATAAACTAAATGAAGTATAAATATGTCACATTCTCACTCTTCCTACATAGAACGCGTCCTATTTTTCCACAACCCCCTCGCGGCGGTACCAATCAGCTACCAGTATAGAGATTAGTATGACATCTAGTGTCATAATATGGAACATATACAGTTCTCGTTGTCCACAAGGAAAGGAGTAGGGAGTGGGGCGTCGTTAGTAGGAGGAGAAATATGTGAGCGATTTCCTTGTTCATAGAAGTGAACGGTCAAGCGTCTGAAGAAGTAGGAACAAGTATTTAGCCAGGATTACTTCAACGAATTGCGCGCGCAAGAGACAGAGAGAGAGAATATTACAATCCAGGGCCAAAAGTTAACATATACTGGCCGTACAGTGACTGATAATGAAATGTAAATAATACCCGACATCTAATGGACAAGATTAAATTTTTGTGCAGCTTCAAGTCGTTACCATGTAGATGGCAGGGCGGAACTGCAGAGGTCGTGGTGCCCTCATACGATGAATCTTCAAACTGCCGAATATCATACTCCATCAACTCAAACATGAATCCAAAACCCACATAAATGTTATTCATATACTTCGATATTCAGTAATTTATTGACGTCAGTAGCTCGTATTCAAGATTCGTCTTTTTCTTTAGAGGTCCTTCAATCTAGAAATCAAGTTGATAAACACTGAATTAAAATTCTGAAGTCTACACAATAATTCTTTCACTCAGTTGCTATTCTATGAGTTACTGATTAATTATGAAGCGTATCATCTTCTGGGATATATAGCAGTGTAGTGCGGTAGAATTCCACATGTGTTTCCAAGGAATATACTGCCTCCATCTTCAGGGTCGAAAAAGTAGACCGAGCAAGACAAGAAAAGTGATTTTTTTAAACGTCTTCAGATTGCTAATAGACAACACAGCTAAAATCCCAGATGGCGAGGCTCTTCAAAGACATGACAAAAAGTCCCTACAATGTGGTTATACCTACATTTATTGCTTATCTTCTACATTAATAGCTTATTTCATCTTCGTCTTCTAGCAGAGCTGTTTAAATCATTCGTTATAACTGTCTGTGCTGACTGAAAGTTGAACCCTTTCCACGTTCCACATTAACTTTCATTTGCATCATTCTTCGACATGGCAAATGTTTTACAAAATGAAAGGCTACTCCTTTATGACTATTTGTAGTGAGCTGTCTGTACTGGGATTTGCTTTCAAACGATCCGATTCTGTATGTAATAATAATAAAAAGGACTGCCAGATGAAGGAAATATGTAGTATTCTTTCTTTAAAAGCTTGAATGAGTGAGATAGAGGAGTTCTTGAGAGTCACTTCAGTTTAAAGGGGAACAAAACATATTTCAGCTTGGTAAAAATTCCAGGCAGTGACTGTGCGATTTCAGTTAAGGATACATTTGAGAGAGGGTAAAGCGTTGGGAAGTGAAGAAATCAGAGGGTTAGGAGGTGAACATTTTTATGGGCAGAGGATAGAAATTGAGCAGGGGTTTTAATTCTAATAATCAGAATTTTAATATTAGCGTGGGAAATGCTGCATTGGGGTGAAATTTTAGTGCTTACATTGGGAGGGGACTGCATGTGAAGCATAGATTGCAAGGCGGAAACGTCAAAATTAAGAGGCCTAATCATTGTCTCATGGTGAGCTTACATCTTAATTCAGCATAAAACATATTTCGGAAAAATTAACTCTATCAAACTGTGGAATGCCCAGTAATATTTGAAAATTCAGTTCCTATATCACATAAAAACAAGGACAAATTGATTCATGCTGTGTAGCGAAATAATGGCTGCCCATTGTGATACTTATACTAAACATATAATTATACTGTGTGACCAAATTGTAGAATTCCTTAATGTTAAAACAGACCTCTGTGCTTTAGCGAGTTAATGTTAACAGCAACTGAGGCTGGAATTTAAGGGCATATGACATGAAGTTGTTTTAACTAACTCACAAAATTTGCATAGTAAACTGTAAATATTTACCTCTATTCCATAAAATTGTCTTCACTTCCTGGAATGGCAGATCAACCAGAAGTGTTAATATAACGGACAGCAGGATTATGGCCACAACTTCTCCAAATTCAAACTGCAAATAATGTAATAATATAGCTCTGAATCATAACAAATCTGGAACTATGTAAGATTTAATGTTTTCACGGCCGTGACTATGATGAATTCCATCTTCTGGGATGCGGAGTCATGTAGATATTGTGTTAACCGAAGTTTCGGAGGAACGTATCGCCTCCATCTTCATGGTAGAAGACAAGAAGAAACCCGCGAGCGAACCATCTGAGCAGGTACAACAGACATCAATGATAATCTGACTAATTAATGTGGAACACTGGGGAATGAGAATTCCCAAGAGAAAGCGAAGTACTCAAAGGAAACCTGCCCCACTGTAACTTTGTCCACCACAAATAGCAGGTGACCTGGCCTGGAATCGAACCCGGGCCACCGCGATGGGAAGCGTAGAATAATTGGATGATAATGAATAGTAAGTAATATGAAAGGAAGTTGTTCTGACCTGATTTAAGTTTCTATCACGGTGTTTACCTGAAGGGGCTCAGGAATTACCTACTACTTATAGTCGTTCCGGGCCGAGGTTCGAACCAAACACATCGAAAATACGTCAGAAGCGTTACAGCTTCGACCCGATCTTTTCGGTCTACCTCATCCTTCTCTATTGGACCACCCTAATAATATTTTATGGAGAATCTCCTTCGTATAGTGTATCAGGTAAAGGGCGGCCTGCCGGCGAGTAAGGCCGACACCTCACCGCCATCTGTGAGCCGACTGTCTAAACAAAATGTGGGGGCCTCGACGTCTCACAACCCTATGGGCCTCCAAATCCTGTTACAGATAAAGCCTTATCTTTACGGAGTAAAACTACTGCATTTCCTTTACCATAACCAACATAATGCTCTTACAGATAAGTTATTTCTTGAACCATAGTATCATTCGGGAGATGATGGTTTACCGACATTCCGTAGGCACATAATACTTCCATCTTCAGGACCGAAAATAAATTCAAACAACCAGCAAGAAACACGCAGCAAGCGAAGCTTACTTTTTGGCACTGAAGATGTAAGCAGTACGTTCCCCCGAATCCTTGGTAAACTTGTACCAGGCTAAACAGCGTCACGTTACAGAAGTTATTATTATTATTATTATTATTTACTTACTTACTTACTTACTCATGGAGCTGAGCCCTCCTTGAGGAGCCGCCAATTCTGCAGCTACTCAAGAATTTCCCAGCATTTTATGGAACCCGAAGGTTCATCACCGTGTTCACAAGAGCCCTCCACTGGTCCCTATCCTGAGCCAGATTTATCCAATCCATACCATCCCATCCTATTTCTCTAAGATCCATTGTAATGTTGTCCACCCACCTGCACCTTGGTCTTCCCTGTGGTCTCTTTCCTTCTGGCTTTCCAACCAATATCCTATACGCATTCCTGGTCTCCCCCATTAGTGCTGCATGACCTGCCCACCATCATTATTATTATTATTATTATTATTATTATTATTATTATTATTATTATTATTATTTCATCTACACTGTGCTAAGTCTGTAATTGGCCTTGCGGCTGTTGACTTGACACGTAAATAATAAAGAATTGAATTGAATTGAATTATTGGCCCTCAATGCGAGATCCCCATATCCAATTGTGTTGCTTCTCCATCAGCCATGTACGTACCAGTAAATGCGGGCTGTAATAGTCTGCAGATCTTCGAGTGCCAACATTGTAGAAGAAGACAGGGAACTGTGTGAGGTACACGGCGTAGCATATGCGACTGAAGATAGTGAATCCCTTCCATGACAATATCCGGCCTATGATACCTGCAATGAAGAGAGTGGAAGTCAATTAAATATCACGGAAACTTCTGACCATCCCTTAACCGTGTTTCCTTTCATGACAGGAATGATGTAATTTCATAGCAGTGGTTATTTCATCAGTACATCGCCAGTTCAAGTGTGGGCCAAAGGAGCAGATACCAATGCCTTTTACCCTCCATCTTCAAGATTTAAGAATAGGGGGAACAACAACAATGCAACAGCAGCAAGCAAGCTGAGATCTCTCCGAAATACACGGCGTTAAAATCCTGAAAACTGTACTCTGCAGTGTCGTCGCTGTGAGAAATTCAAACCCAGCAGTTTACGTGTTACTTTTGTTAACCATTAATCACGTCTGTAAAGATTTTCACTCAAGGGCCGGGAAGGGGGCTGACCCTTCACTGTCCTGCAAAGCCTTCAGATCTGGGCGTAAATACATCTGTACCTGCATGTCCAATTGAGTCTGCGAAGGTGATCCAGCCTAGGAACGCTCCCCACAGAATTGGCGACAGGGCGTTGTACAGTGCTGCTTCCTGTGGGCTGTACTCGTAACTGGGAGAAGACATGTGGTGTGGTCCACACATAGCTAGCGCTCCCACTGCAACAGCTACACTCCAGCCGATAAGAAGTTGAACCTGACGACAGAAAAGCGTTTCCTTACCCAGGGCCTGATTTACAATTGCCCCCTTGCAATAAAATTGCGGGGGGTCCCTATCAATAGCAATGAATTTTGGTTATGACAATTTTTTCTTTTCGTTCTTATTTCTTATGACAACTAAAAATAAAAAATAACTTTTCGTGATTTTAGATAAGCAAATTCCTGAATATAATCTGTGGATTATATTTATGTCGTGTGGAGGTCCCGGGACGGTAGCCCTTAAATCCGACCCTATCATTATCACAAAGTACTCACGGTAGCGTAGTTGGTTGAGGCACTATGCTACAAGCCGGAAACTTACAATTCCCGGTGAGGTCATTGGATTTCTAAATTAACCTAATCCTTTCAGTCGCACTATGGCCCTGGGGTTGACTCAGCCTCTAACAGAAATGAGTACCAGGAATCTTCCGATTGAGCCCATTGTCTAGAGAAAATGTGGGAGCCTCGACGTCTCACAACCCTATGGGCCTCCACGGCATGTTACAGGGATAGCTTTACTTACTTTTACTTATACAAACAGCTCCACACTCCGAGCCACTGCGAATATGATTCAAGTTACTGATGTTCTGTTATGGAATTTTCGCGTTGAGAAGCCAACGGTTACTCAGTCCTATCTCTTCAACGTTAGTATTACGCTAAAGCATATTTTTGTGAGTTACTACAAAGTCTGTGGTGTACACTAATAATAATTCAACGACTCTTCGGAAGAAGTTTCTACCGACATTTTCACAATCTAAGAATCAGTTCTTTTCTGCTTGCTCCTTACTTTTTGTCTATTTTTTTAATTCTTCTACTCTATAGAAAATGGGTTTCTCCGAAACTTCGGTAAACTTCAATGGCCACACCCTTAACATATCCCCCACCGTAGTTTTCCGTTATGCGAACCCCACAACAGCTCACAACGTCATTTTGCAACTGGGTTTACGCAGAGCAGTGAAGGGGTACTCACAAACTCCAGGCATTTGTGTCGCCAGTCGTCATGCGAGTCCGAAAGAACAGTTCGGCAGTTATTACCTTACTCAGAGAAAGACTGGGTTTTGTTTCACGGATCACGAACCGTGCGGCAACTCCAATCAGGTACACAGTAGCGCGGTGAGCAGGCAGCGTGTATGAGAAATTTCCCGTTTCGTACAACTGGGACACTCTGTAAAACACAAAAATTATTCGTGTGAATTTGCGTTCAGAAACATAATGTTAATATGGCTTATGGATCATATCACTCGTCCGCGCACCCATGAAACTGAGTCCTTCTTGAGAAGCCGTCAGTTGTGCAGCTGCTCAAGAATTTCCCGTGTTAACAAGAGCACTCCATTGGTCCCTATCCTCAGCCAGATCAATTCAGTCCATACCATCCCATCTCTCTAAGATCATTTTAATATTGTCCACCCATCTACGTCTTGGTCTTCCCAGTGGCCTCTTTCCTCCTGGTTTTCCCACCAATATCCTATATGCATTCCTTGTCTCCCCATTCGTGCTACATGCCCTCCCCATCTCATGAATCATACACAAAATTAATTATACTGTGTCTGAAACATCACTGGATTTTCACGCATCACCATCAGATGATTACGTATCTCGTGACGCCATTATTAAGAAATTACTAAATAACTGTCTCACCATATGATGGGACCCAAAATCGCCATATCGCAGATCGCGTTAAACACAAAAGACTTCTCCTCCGTAAGGTTCCCTGCTCAGGGCACAACATATCCTGAGGTATGTTAGACGCAACAGCTTACCCTTTCAAGATCTCAGAAAATTTAACCTTCATTTACCTAACCAAGGTAAAGAACCCATTGCCGTATTCACACGAACAGACCACTGGTCCCTGTACAGAGCCAGCTAAATCAAATCCACATTCCCATCCTAATAATTTTGATATTATCCTCCCATCGACATGAGGTTTACCTACCAAAGTTATGTACGCACTCTCCTCCCATGCGTACTACATGCCCAAATCTTGAGAGACGCTAACAAACCGTAAACGTACGTTGTGCCGAAGTACACGACGGTGCTGAGCTTCCTGTTGTATGCGACAGTGTAGCGCAGGTGGGTCGAGTAGGCGCCGAGGAGTATGAGGCTCCCCAGTCCAAGCCAGCGTCTACTCCACAGCAAGTAGACGAAGAAGGGGGCCACGAGGTACAGCTGCATGTCTACCGCCAGCTGATGTGTGTGGGTGAGGCACTGAAACTCATCGTTACTCCAGTTGTACTCACCACCATTTGCAATCCTCAGTATTGTCAATTCGAGAAATGTGCGTTGGATGAGCTATACTCCATCCCTTGTACGAACGAGGATACGTCATCGTCAGTCAGTGACGTAAACCGTTACATCATCATTAGATAACTACAACGTTCTATTTTCAACATATTTATGGTGTTCATACAGCCGCATAAAATGTCAACAAACTTGACACAAAAATTTTCTTGCATAATGTTGCCTACACGGACGTGGTAGTGTGGTTGGTTCATGCACTATGCTACAAGCCGAAAGGTCGCGGGATCGAATATCGATGTCATTGGATTTTTTCAATTTACCTAATCCTTCAAGCCATACTATGGCCCTGGGGTCGACTCAGCCTCTATCAGAAATGAGTACCAGGATTATTCTTGGAATACTCTTGTGGGTAAAGGGCGGCCGGTGCGTAAGGCTGACAACCTCACCGCCATCTGTGAGCCGTTTGTCTAGAAAATGTGGGAGCGTCGACATCTCACAAACCTATGGGCCTCCACGGCCTGTTAGAGGGGTACCTTTAGCATAACTTTTACTTTCTTTACCTTAATAAAAATTAATTACAAAGAAAGAGGGTGTGAGGATGGAGACTGGATTCATCTGGCTCGGGATATAGACAGGAGAAAGCTCTTGTGAACACGGTAATGAACTGATTATAAAAAGATAAAACAGTTCCGTCCAGTGTGACCGGACGAAATTGTTTTATCTTTTTATAATAGTGTGACGGACCAGAAGAAAAAAAAATCAAATTCATCAACTGTAATAAACTTTTGGGTCTCGTAAAAGTAGAGGCATATTTTATTATTCTATGAAATGCCCCAACTTTGTGGAGATATTTCTGAAAATATATACGATATGCAAAACCATTACAACATCGGGTTTGAAAATTATGTTTAGTCCGGGCTCGCATAGTGAGGGGGTGGAGTCCAACTGGGTCCACTCGGCACGTCGGCCACTGATTGGCTTACTGTATCTCCCCCCGGTGATTATGTTAATGGAGAATTTAGTGGAATGAAGATTTTGCAGGGGAAACCGAAGTACTTGAAGAAAACCTGCCCCAGCGCCACTTTGTCCACCACAAATCCCAATTGACCAGACTCGGGCTCGAACCCGGGCCACCGCGGTGGGAAGCCAGCGACTAACCTCTTGAGCTATGGCGCGGCCTTTGGACTCGTATATATTTTCCGAGATCTTATTTCTGGTAATTTGCCATAGCAACTCACCATTTCCTCAAAACCGAAGTAATTATGTATGAAAAGGAAGTTCCTCCACATGTTGGTTTGGCAAATATCAGAATGACGTTTCACAACAAGGTTCCACTGGGGCCCAGATCCCAGATGGTCCATAATGTACGTGCAAAACAGGATTACGGCAGCAAGGCTAGGTGTGAACCTAAAACAGGAAGTATCATCAAATTTGGAGCACTTGAAATTCCGTATAAGTAACAACAAAATCACATAAAATTTTAATTCCTTTAAGGCATATGATTACTGTATGAGTATTGAATTAAACTAAGTATATTGTGAAGCACTACAAATTAAATACAAAGTTATCCCTGTGCTTAATTAAGAACCACGCATGGACAAGTATGGGGAATTGGTGGTATAGCTCCATGCATTCTTAATCTTTTGCACTACTTAGAAATGAGTAATAAGCTTTACGTCCCAGTAGATTACCCTCGAGGTATGAACCCCGTACACATTACCACCAGAGGAGTACTGAACTCTGCGGAAAAGACGAAGTCACTTGCCCCTGCTGGTAAGGGATTCCTCGGCCGTCTAATATCTAGCCTAGTCCCTATACTACCTTAGCTACCTCTGCTCCTACACGAAGAATGAGTTTATTTATATTATTGTAAAATGGCCTATTTTCCCGATTTCTGTGTGGGTAGTGGACCAATCTTATTTCCACGAAGCAGAGCGTTTCTTGAAAAGCTAATAGTTGCTCAGCTATTCAAGAGACTCCACGTCATTTATGAAACGCAACGGTTCATTACTAGGAGCGGGAATAGCTCAGTCGGTATGGCGACTGGCTACAGGCTGGACGACCGAAGGGTCGGCGTTCGAGTCCCGGTAGAGTCAAGAATTTTCTCTCCTACACGTCGTCCAGATCGTCTCTGGGCTCCGCCCACTCTTCTATCCGATGGGTACCGTGGGCTCTTTCCCCTGGGTTAAAGTGGCAGGGACGTGAAACTGACCAATCACCTCCACCTAGTGCCGAGGTCAAGAAAATGTGGATCTATAAATCCAATCCCCCATACGCCTTCATGGCGTAGTGCTTTATTAGTTGAGCACAGAGACAACTTTACCTTTTACTTTACGAGTCTGCCGGTGGATCACATCCAAAACCAGGCGTATTCAATTCACACAATCACAACCTTAAGATCCATTTTAATATTATCCTTCTGTTTATGCCTAGGTTTCCAGACGCGATCTCTTCATTCAGGTCTGCTAATTTAAATTTGTTTCATAATTCCCCCATGCATGTTACATGAACACCCCATCATAATTTTGTGAATTATATAAATTATATGACATTTGGCGCCACTAACGTACGTAATACAAATACAGTTTTCTGTAGTATTACGCCGTGTAACCTAGTAGATGGTTATCAAACTTTCGGAATAATTTATTGCCGCCATCTTCAGGGTCTAAGTACTCTCCGGTTCCTTCAAAACTTCGGTAATCACACACTAGTTTCCCACCGTCTTCAATGCAGAAGATTTCTGTCCTGATGATCGAGTCAGCATTTTCTTCCGAAACGCTACTATCCTACCAGAATAACTCCATCTTCAAATTATGTAAAACTGAACATACAGAGAACAGGTTTCTCACAAACATTAATAAATTTCTACCAGACTACACTGCGTCACATCCCAGAAAACCGTATCTTAGTACAACTTATGAAGGTCTCCATACGTTTGTCTCCTTCTACCTATCGCTTCTTTCCCTTAATTCCAAACAACTACAAGTAAAAAGGTAAAGAATGTAAACTATCCCGGTAACAGGCAGTGGAGGCCCATAGGGTTGTGAGACGTCGAGGATCCCACATCATCTAGACAATCGGCTCACAGATGGCGGTGAGGATTCCAAACTTACCCGCCGGCCTCCTTTTACCCTTCAGGAAGTTTCCTGGTACCCATTTATCTTAGAGGCGAAGTCGAACCAGGGCCATAGTTTGGCCGGAAGAGTTAGGTAAATTGAAAAATACAATGACGTAATCGGGAATCGAACCCTCGACTTTCCGGCTTGAAGCACAGTGCCTCAACGAACTACGCTCCAAACAACTACAACGCATGTAAAACAACTGTGGGCCGAACTGTGTCTCCAAATGAAGCTCCAACATATGTAAGGGTTTGGGTGTGTAAGTCTACTGTGATTACCTCAAATATCGGGACAGGAAGTTTCCCCAAACATTAATCTTCTTGTCTCTGCGGAGTTCTCTGAAGAGGCCATGAGATGCAAGGAAGCCGCTGATAAATATGAATGAATCTGTGTACAGGATAGATGTCCTTCCGATGACAGACCAACTTCTGGCGAATGTCTGAAATAAAGAAAACTTTAACTGCAAATATCTAAATATCTAAGTTATCGCGTTGCAACTTTCGCGGATAAATTACCTATATGAGAACTTCTAAGGACCTGAAATATATGGAAAATATTTGTTCCATACTTTTCTTCATCATGAAATTCAGATGAAGTGCTAACAGGTATCACATGCTATGAGATACAGCAATTTTTGTGTAGGTCGAAATTATCGACACTTGGCACTTGTAAGGTTAAGTAAAACAAAATGAATCCTTTAAATATATTCCGCTATAACAGTAGTGATATTTCTTGTGATAATTATTATAAAAATATATAGAATGAAAATTAATATATAAATATTTCTCACTTTACAATTTATTTACTTACTCCTTGGCGCAGGAGTCCTCTAAGGACATTAGCCCCTATTTTTAGTTCTCATAAATCACTTTCTAACTTCCTGTTACTTTCCCAATCCAGGTCTTCTTACTATCCTATCTTCTGGCTTACTTTGAAAAATATTCTTAACATCTTTGTTTTATCTGTCGTAATCATATTCCTAAACGATTGGAAATCTCTCCTTTCTATGTTCCCTAACAGATCAGGGGTTTTATATAACTCCCTCATTTCTTGTTTACTCATGCTCTCCAAACAAATTACCAGTTCTAAAATTATCTCTAATAATAATCTAACATGACAATACCACGTATATCCACATGAAGTGGATACATTTACCTCGAGTATCGTCTTCAGTTTAGCGATATCAGCAAGACAATTCAGTACATCAAAATGACAATCTTTATCTTCCATGAGACTGGCTGTGTTCTTCTATTTCCTTATACAGACCCTTATAATCTTATATAAATCTGATTACAGGTGGAGTTAAAATGTTACTTTAAGTGTTTTCGTAAATAATTTTGTCTAGAGTCCCAGTTTTATTTCGTAGTCGACGGCAAAGTACTGATATGTTTTAAATTAAGAAAAAATTTCTGTAATTGTGGCAAGTTTATATTGAAAATGTTTAATATTTTTACTGTTAATTCAATACATTTCGGGATTATTCAAATTTTCTATAGTAGATTAACCATCAGTTGTTCTCTTAATCCTTTATTTTCTTAAAGTCTTGTTTTCCGTCTCTAATGCAACAATATTAATTCACACTTAATTCACTAAATGTTCGATAAAGCGGCCTCCGTAGTCTAGAGGTAAAGTTCCCACCTCATGACTCGTGGTACGCGGGTTCAAATACCCGGCGGAGGTCGTCGAATTTTTAAGGGCGGAAAAATTCAGGGAACAAGTCCTCCGGGAGGGACTTTAAGCTGTGTGTCCCGTGTCGTAACTTTACGGCACGTAAAAGAACCTCATATCCCCAAAGGGGATCACTGAGCCAAATTCCAGGACGTTTCCCGCCCAAAAATAGTCTTTAAGGCCTCTGATAGATGGGGGAAGCATTATAGACACCGCTAAGCAAGTGGCCGAACTCGCTTGCTCGGCGGGACTGATGGTATGCACCATTCATCGGTAGGGTAAAGAGACTGGTAGAATATCATAGAGGGAAGCACAATAGATCAAACTGGTCGCGGTACATGGGGAAACCCACCCTCTCTAAATAACTAACTAACTAAAAATGTTCGTTACATGTTTAAAATATCATTAAAATTATTAAAATATATACGAATACATTCGATGTTTATGCTACATGTTTCAGCCACCCAGGGCCATCTTCAGGCAACGTATCTTTTAAAGCAGTCTACTGCATTATGCACTGGGTCAAATAGTATTCATTAAGGCAGTTCGTTTTTGTTATTATTAATTTCCTTGAATTCTGATGATTTTCTTCCTAACCTCATATCGCGCCTGTTTTCGTATCCCATTATGTGCGTCCCTCTCTAAGTTGTGTATATCTAGTGTTCCTTTGTGTTCCTTGTGCTCAAGTTGTGTTTATCTAGTGCTGCTTTCTGTTCCTTGTACTTAAGTTGTGTGTATCTAGTGTTGCTTTATGTTCCTTGTACTTAAGTTGTGTGTAACTAGTGTTCCTTGTGCTCAAGTTGTGTTTATCTAGTGTTCTTTTGCGTTCATTGTGCTCAAGTTGTATTTATCTAGTATTTATTTGTGTTTCTTGCTTTCTGCTGAGATGCACCTCCCCGTATCCCACAGATATCGCTGTTATCTCTAGGGATATGTATACCCCACAGGTGCATTATCTCAAAGAGTTTCAGTCTTTTTGCACCAGGCATGAATTTACTGACAAAACAAACTAAATAACACAGCTATATAAGTCTTGAATCGAATTTCTAGAGCTGTTTAAGGGATAAAAATTGATTCAATTCTTGAAAATGAAATTTGACGCAGAAATGTATAAGGGTGTACATAATCAGCCTAAATATAGTCAAATTTGTACGTTTAGTATGTCATTTCCATTGATACCAATTGAAAAACCAATTTAATCTACTTACGATGTTAACGGAGCATATTAGCAATAAACGGCAGTGTTTCAGTCAGTGTTACAGTGTCGAACTTTACCGACAAAACTACCTCTGGACCATTATGATTATGCTTTATCTATCAAACTGTCTTTCCATAAATTCTCAAGTTCATAGCACGTCTTTTTCATTGAAATCATGATATGAAAATGACCCTCAAGGTTATAATGTATGAGGGTTGGAACTTTAATAGTGGTAACTATTTACGTATTTACAACTGATACAAAATAGATGCATGTTTCGAAGTGTTACTGTCTTTCAGTGTAGTCACCAGCATTGTGTACGTGTACAACCCGTTGCCAGCGATGTGGCGCCTGTTGTGTTGATAGTTCGAATGGAGCGGTCTACTGCCTGAAGAATCTCTGGAACAGTTCTGAAGCGAATGCCACGAAGTGGTTCCTTCAGCTTAGGAATCAAGTCGAAGTCACACGGGGCTTAAGTCCGTGGAGTATGGTGGATGGTACAGAACTTTCCAGTCCCATAGACCGAAGAAATCAGCTACAGCTTGCGCTCCATGCGGCCGAGCATTGTCCTGCAAAATGATGGGTGGGTCCTGCAGAAAGTGTCGTCGCTTCTTTCTCATTCGTTAGATTGGCGTTTCATTTGTGGCTCGTACGATTTGGCCAAAGTCTCATCCAGCGTAATGATACGGCGTAAGAAAGCCTTTCCTTCGCGCTCATAGCGCTCCAAGTGGTTACGAGCAACGTCGTATTGTAGCCATTTCTGCATTTCCGTCAAATCATGCGAACCCATCGTGATGCAGTTTTCCTCATGCCCAGGCGTTCCTTCAGAATGTGAAGCACAGTCGTATGCGCTAATCCTGTCTCTCGGGCCAGCTGACGAAACGTATGGCGTCGATCACTCTCCAGTAACGCGGAAAGTCCATACACTTCTTCACTGACACTAGGACGACCTGGCCGACGCATGTCTGCCACAGTTTGGCGTCCCTCGTTGAAGGCTTTTGTCCACTTTGCCACTGTTCTGTAAGGCAATGCAGATTCCCCGCAAGCCTCTTGAAGACCTTCATGACACTGTCGTACTGTACGGCCTCTGGCACATTCAATCTTTATCCAACTCCGTTGTTCCTGTTACGAAAACATCGTGACAACACTACATTAGACCGCCAACTAACACGAGGCTCTGTTCTTCTCGTCACTGCGCATGCGCGTGATGTGGGAAGGGAGGGTCCATTTGTTCTGAGGTAAGGTAGGTATGTAACTAACATGTGGTGTAAACGACATTATTTGGTTCCGTTGCATGGCGTCTCTACAGCAGTGTTGCCACTATTAAAGTGGCAAAATGTTATCTGTGGAAATTTTATTTACGTAGATATAGGAATTATCAAGATTACTCCTTGAAATTACTGCCAGTATTTAATTAGTCTGTGATTTTGTTTAGAATCACCATGGAATTTCAAGTACTAAGGATAGTATGTATATTTCTCAAGACTCAAGGTACGCGGGTTCAAACCCGGCGGAGGTCGTGGAATTTTTAAGGGCGGAAAAATTCAGGGAACAAGTCCTCCGGGAGGGACTTTAAGCCGTGGGTTCCGTGTCGTAGATTTACCACACGTAAAAGATGTCTCTAGGAGACCTCTGAGCAAAATTAGGCAAAAAGTTTCCCGCCCAAGTAGTCTCCAATGCCTCTGGTAGATGGGGGAAATATCAGGTACCGACGGCCGACCTCGTTGGCTGAACGGGGCTGATAGCACGCAGCAGTACTGGTAGGATATGGCGACTGTTAGAATATCACCCCCTCTAATAATAAATAATAAAATATATTTCCTCGCAGATTCTGTGCATGTGAACTGCTATTAAGGATACATTTGTAGCAAAATTAATATATTGTTCTTACCTGAGCCATTTCCGCTCTGTTGATATAAGGATTGAAATACAAGGCCACAGATTTGTGGAATATAATCAAAGCCAATGCATTCAACGCTCTTATTCCGTGTAGACAGGGGACGTCGTTTCGAACACTTTCGGTGTTCAAGAGTTTCTGAAGGTTTTTCTTCAGCGAAAATGCTTTTATCAGTCGTAATGTTTTCGCTGGAAACGTAAAGAAACCAATATTATATATTCATGTGAATTTTAAAGCATAAACCCCCAGAAAATTAATTTAGAAGTAAAATATAGACTTGTATTTAAAACAACCTTATTTCGAACCTCGGCTGGTACAAGGGCTAATCTGAAGCTTCGTTTAATTTTCCTCAGATTCTTCAGCACATACCCTGATAGTACCTGACAAAATGGTAAGAGAAACACAAAAAGGTAACACCTGTTGCATACAAAAGTTCTGTTATATTTCCTCTAGAAATATTGCATGGAATTGTAGTGATTAAAATTGATATAATTATTGATCTGACGTTACATAAGAATCAATAAAATTTTCAGTGTAAATATTATCATTAAACAGAGTATTATGAACTATGTGCCATATAAATACATCTTATTTTGTTAAGTTGTTATTATGAGTAAATTTAATCTGAGTAAGAAAAGAATTAAGATATTTCATTGAGAGCTTGTAATATACAACAAAACTTAGAAATAACCTTAAAATATAACAAAATGCATGATGATTTTATACAACCAAACACACCTCAGAATTTTACCCTTCATAGTCTCACCTGCTATCAAGTATAAAAGCATCTTAAAAGTTAGCTCTTTGGAGTTGCTTTGTGGCGAGCTCAGTATCAAAGTATGATACATGATAGAGCCGCAGGATAATTGTTGAACTGGAAACGGTGTGGAAAGAAGTTGTCAGTGTCTAATTGAGGTACTATCCGATATTTGTCTGCTGGGACTGAGTAAAATTACGAAAATCCTCAGTGAGGACAGCCAATGCCCAGGCCTAGGTTCGAACTGAACATCACTAGAGTGACCAGTTCCATACAAAAACCTGTATAAACAGGCTTTGACTGTGGAGGTTACTATAAGCCTAGTTGAGTAAGTGTTAACCCCATGGATCTGGGTCTTCTTAAGAAGCTGCCAGTCGCCCAGCCACTCAAGAATTTCCGAAACATGTTATGGTACATGAAGTACTCTGTTTACCAGAGCCCTCCACTGGTCCCTATCCTCAGCCAGCTAAATCCAGTCCATACCACTCCACCCTATCCCTATGCCTAACTAATTAAGCACTACATCATGAAGGCGTATAGGAGAGTGGATGTCTAGATCCACGTTTTCTTGACCTCTTCACTAGTAGGAGATGACTGGTCAGCTTCACGTCCCAGCCGCTTTACCCCCGGGAAAGAGCTACCCGGTACCCATTGTATAGAAGTTTGGGTGGACCCCGGAGCCAGTCTGGACGATTTGGAGAAGAGAAAATTCTTGACCCTACCGGGACTCGAATTCCGACTCCTCAGTCGTCCAGCTCGTAGCCAATCTCTGTACCGACTACGCTATCCCGGCTCCTTATCTCTCTAAGACGAATTTTAATATTATCTTCCTTATACGTTTAGCCCTTCCTTGTGGTCTCTTTCCTTTTGGCTTTCCCACCACGAGCCTCTATACATTCCTACTCCTTCTCATTAAGAAACTGAAGCTTCATCACCTTCTTCTGGAGTCTTCTGACCCGTCTTGACCCAAGTTCCAAACGCCGTGACACCAAGAAGAGACACAAATAAAATTCTGTAAAATAATACATTATGTTTTTACTATTAGGTCTAATAAAAAAAACTCCGTGATTTTAGTCCACAAGCGAACTGTACCGACCGTGGGCATTAGTTGCGCTGACCACGCGACACCCTCTATCCGCAAAAGTTGGCACTAACTACGCCTGCAAGCGGCGGTCGCCCGGTCGGTATACGGCTTGTAGCCGTCCACCGACGTACATCTGCAACGACTGTCCCTCGAGTTCTTTATCTCAGGGATACGGTTGCTTCGGAGATGGGAGTGGAACACACTTCGAGGTTTATGAATCCGGGGACTCCAGAACACACCGTGTATTGCAGTCTTAATTTAAAATTTCATACAGTAATTAATCTTTATAATATTCCTCCAAGCTAGCCGCTCCGTCCATTCTACTCACTGCCCCATCTGTAAAACACTTCTCTGTTCTCTGTCTACATTTCGACTACTGCCCTCCTCCGCTCCCTATAACCGACTGCCCTCTCTTTACAAGTTCTCCGGTGGGCATAAAACAAAACAAGAGAAATAACAGAGAAAGCCGAGGGTCGAGTTCGGCATCTGTCTTACATTCGTATTTTTCGAGATGCCCAAAAACCTTTGTAGGCCTTCAAGGCACACGAGCAGGGAACCCAAGACCCCTCCTGGCCGGTCTAGCACAAGGTCAGTTCATGGGCGACGTTAGGGACAATAGTGACACTCTAAGCCTAAGGAGGACAATAGTTGAATTACAATTAGACGATCCCGGTATGGTACCTCGCCGGAGGAGCGTCTCTTATGGTGTGAATTCAATTCAAATATCCACATCAAAATGTTAATACTCTTCACGAAAGAGACACGATACACTGAAGCAAAAGACAGTTCTTTCGATCGTTCTCCATTAAACTTCTATTCATGCAACACGCCAATATAATTTACTTTAAGGTATTTTCTTAGTAAGCCGAAATTCATAATTAATATAATTACTCACCTCATTACTGCGAGAGATGTTACTCATATTTGGTGACATTAAATAAAGTAAAGTAATATTATAGGCAAATTATCGCCTCTGTGGCTACAGATCAAGATATTCCGGGTTAGATTCCCGGCACTAAATTCACCGACAAGCGGCGGTCGCTCGGTCGGTATAGTTCGCTTGCGGACTACAAGCCACGGAATATGGGCAACTTTTCAAATTAACTCCGAGGGCCGCAACCGCCCCGCGTAAAATTGTTTGCTGACCTGCGAAGTACATCATGCTCATCTGTAAGCCTCTCAAGTATCATGCAAATATTGCAAGGTAATTTGTTCATGCCTCAGGTAATTTCAGGATGTCAGTACTACTAAATTAAGTAGAAGGAATCGAATCACTTACATGGTAACTTTTGTTCCCGTGGAAACTTGCTTGAAGTCTTTGATGTAGCACAAGTCTGGATCGACCTTAACCTTGAAAGTAACATCTGTGTCCTTCAAATAGTTCTGGAGGGACTCGCTCAAGAAAGCTGTCAGGTCGTCCGCAGAGCAAGCGGCAGGAACACAGAACCCCCAGTTTACAGTGGAAAAACGCGCGATTCTGTGCCCTGGCTGCAGAGAAGGCAAAATATGACCACAAGTTTCACTTCACAGAATGTCACAATGAAATTATTGGCATTCCTTCTTCATGTAAGAAAGCCGTCTTCTGGGATTTGGCACCGTGTATATGTGGTGTTAACCGACGTTTCGGAGGAACATATCGCCTCCATCTTCAGGGTAGAAGGAAAAATATAAGAAATCCGCAAGCGAAGAGACCGTGAGAACCGGTAAAAGCAGACTGGTGTTGCAAATATACACAGCTATGTGAGAGCAGTGAACGAAGGGGTGAAGGGCAAGTCTACAAGTGAAATCAGTAGTGTCAGAGGGGGGGGAAAGGACCTGGGACAATCAGGGCGATACGTTCCTCCGAAACGTCGGTTAACACCACATATACACGGTGCCAAATCCCAGAAGACTGCTTTCTTCATTCCTTCTTCATGTTCAATGGATACCTGGTTCAGACCTGAACCTGATTCCGATTAGCTTCTTTGAGGTTCTTCATGATTTTCCTCCGTCATTTCAGACTAATTTTTTTATAATATAACCTCACATTACGCTTTGCCGAATTCTTTCCAATTAAATATTTATTAATCACCCTACAATTCGACACTGTACGCATAATTTGTTCTGCCGAAAGCATCGATAAGCTAACCAGGAATAAACAAATGATATATAGCAAATTTGGATATGACCTCATTCGTTGGGACAGAAAGTGACTTGTATTTTTTGTACTTCCAACTAAGCAGGAGAACATTTCAATGAACAATGAGAGAAAAATACGGAGAGCGCAATTGGTGATACAAACTTTTTTATTATGACAGACAGAATACTGTGATACTGTTTCGTAACCCCCTTTAATTCGGAAAAACATGACCTTGCTGAGGAACATATTGTGTCCATCATTAGGGTCAAATTTAAGCCAAACAAAATTCGTTTGTCACATTCTTTTTGCTGTTCTTTGTTTGGCTTGTTATTTGATCCTGAAGATGGAGGGAATACGTGCCTCCGAAACGTAAAATGTTCTTCAGAGTTATATGACGTCACAACCCGGAATATCGTAATCATCATACTCGCGCTGTGAGAACACAAACGAGACGTTACAAAGGCAAAGACTAGAAGCGAAATGCTGTGGTGTGATAATCGTTAAATAATGTTATCCAGTGCCAAGTTCCCTGATCCAGACGCCCGCACGTAACAATTGGCACGGCTCCTCTTCCCAGACGCCTTTCTTCGAAATATCGAGGCCAGAGTGACTGTTCATAACAACAAACCCAGTTCCTACGTTGTTTCCTATTTTCCTAAAAACTGCATTGCTTCATCGATAGATTATATAATGACGTTATACCAACTGCAGATGTACACGCACGCATGGGACGGATGGGAGCTGCTTAGAAAAAATTAATTGGGAAACCTGAAGGAAGAAGACCACTTGGAAGACATAGATATAGATGTGAAAATAATAAAATGTGTCTTGAAAACATACTTTGTGGCTGGTATCATATGAATCTGGGGTGTAAGTGGGGGTTTTGTGAAAACACCAAAGAACAATCCTGGTCCATGGAGGACATGGAGTATCTTGACCACATGAACAACTATTAGCTTCTCAAGAAGGACGCTGTTCTATGCTGGATATAAAGGGAAACAGATTTAGAGGTTCGTCAAGATGATATATTACTAAAATGATTATTATTTTGGAAATAATTAATCGTAATATTTTGTTTATTCAAGATGAAGTTTCGGAGACTGCGC